ATCGGCCGACTGGTCGGGAAAATATGTTGAATAACCGTTTTAAAACCTGGCGGCCATTTATAAATATGGATCACGATTTGGATCCCGTGACCTGACTTCCTTTATACTTCTATAGGTGCCTAATTATAGTGGCTGCTCCTAAATTGAACTGAAAAATATTTCAAAAAATGTCTCAAATGAAGCCTACTCCAACACATTGTACACAAAACTGGAATAATAAGTCAGACCCACCGCCAATGAACTAATGAAATCGTGCTCAGGTAGTCAGTATTTTACAGATGAACATGGTGATTTGTGTTATTCTGAAGAAGCGTAAATTGGTATGGGGTTTCCACAGGGGTCAATCCTTGGACCAATTTTATTTTTTGTGTACATAAATCATATATCTAAACCCATCGACTCAACTTCTTTATTCATGCACGCTGATGTATCGAGTATAGTGGCTATATAGTTTTAGAGACTGTAAAACTCAGTAATGTGACAGGAAGTGGCTGCTGCTATCTATACTAGGGCACCATAACGGAAGAAAGTAGCTTAACACATCATACGCCACTGTTAACGCAACGAGCCTTTGTATAGGCAATACCGGTGTGCACAGATTCTACCGGATTCAAAAGACATGCCACGTTAGCAGTGATCTGCGATATATCAGCTATTTATTCTCTTCCATTATTGAACCATTCTATAGTAAGTAAAAACTGATACATCCCGACACATAAGTCGAAAATGCAAAAAGGTCCCAATGCCTTCTGGCCTAACTGGAAGACAGTATCGCTCTAAAAACGGCTTTCGAGCGTTAAACTACCAAGGTCTATAAGAAAGGGGGAAATACACTGCAAGGAGACGGCAACGTGACCTGTTGCCATCACTAGTCGATTTGCAGTTGATGAAACTAACAGTTGTGTTCACAAAAAATGTATTTATTACGTATAATATTTTTTTTTTAATTTTTATTATAAATTTGACTAATATGAATAGTAGATTTTGATTTTATTGACAAACAACCCCCAAGCAAAACTATTATTTCTGCATTAGCAACACTCTACCTGACGTTCGATGCAATTCGTTCGCAGTGGAACAAAAAGTCGGCACGTGGAATATTGAATAAAACCACCAATAAGAGTTATATAGAAATATGTTTGTAGACAAGGTGTTAAGGTGTTACTTTCTGTAGATCGTCCATGGCACATATATGTGTATTGTAGTATTGACAGTTTTTTGATAAAAAATTACACTCGTTGCTGCTACGCAGTTTGAAACGCCCACACGCCGCCAACGGGTACGAATCGTTCAACATTATGGAAGTCCGATACTGTTCTATTGTCGATCGTTCTACGTGTTTACAATGGTACTTGTAATTAGTCAATTATTTTTAAAGGAGCAGCTTTGGTCTGCGTAAACAACGCACTCCGAGTAACCACGAATTGCCGGATTACATAATGCCTGATCGTGAATGAGAATTATTGGCAGTGTAGCAGTCCAATCACGCGCTTTTCTGAATTCCAAAAAGGCTATTTAAATAGATGCGAGCGTGATTGGCATTTACAATAAATTATATCAGATTTATGTTGACGGACGTGTAGTTCTTGGCTACTGATCTACGCTTTCTGGGATTTGATTATTCAAGTGGATAGAAATGACAAAGGCAATGACACAGAATAAGTAAACCAGAAGCTACACTCCGGCAATTTCACCAGTGCGATTTTCAGACGCCGCCAGACAAGCAATCAAGCGGCACTTTGTTTTTAGTCGGTGCATAAACTGGAGAGACGTAATATTCTGGATGAAGGTTTCACTAACGCTACACGAGCTACAATAACATGCATTTCTCATGTATGATATTAGTAGGGAAGTAAAGATGCGTCTCAGAATACGAAAGTACTCGGCCCATAATGGCATGCCTCTCCGCCAAGGTACGAAATGTACTATTACACTTTTTATAAATTATGCCCACATGTTTCAAATATGAGAAGGATGTATTTCCCATTTATACTGTACCACGTGATATGTTTCAAGTTTCAGGTTCAAACGTGGGTTTGTGACACACATGTCTACCAAACATTTGAGCTTTTCGTTAAGCAGTCAATTAGGGACAGATGTTTTAGAAATTCCAAGTTACTTTGCCATTTCCTGTCCTTAAAGACGATGATTTAGGGTGATTAGTACTGAAAAACTTTCGATTATTATCATAAACGCTCATTTAGAAACTAATCACCATATTATTCTGGAAGGAATTTCCATACTTTCATTTCGCTTGCTGTAAATTTACGAAAATGAGAATCATTAACATACTTATTTGACCAACTGTAATCGTGTTGATGAAATGTCTGAAGGCATGCGAGATGTCAGAAGACATACTCGTAACTATCTTTTTATTTACTATTATGAAAACATTGGAAAACAGCCAGACATAGTCATATGAATTTGTTCATATTTTCGAGTTTTTGAAAAGACCAGATCCACTTGCTTGCTTTCCGTTTCGTCTGTCTCCACGACTAGACCTTAGGTCCATACCGCCCTGATGAGTTGCTAATGAGCATGAAACAGTGCTCTGCGGTTGGCCATGGTTGCAGGAGACGGAAAGCAAACACAACACAAGGGAGATGCTTCAGCACTTGTATCATTAGATTATTCTAAGGCGTTCGATAAAATAGATCATGAGCTTTTATGTGCTAAATTGAAGTTTTTTGGTTTTTCAGACATACCTCTAATGTTTTTTATAACATATCTTTCAAATCGTAAACAAGTAGTAGAGATAGACAACACTATATCTAGTCCGATTGATATAACATCAGGTGTCCCTCAGGGTTCAGTTTTAGGGCCCTTGTTGTACTTAATTTATACTATAGACTTGGGTAGCTGTGTGAAAAACTCTTCTGTGATGTGCTATGCCGATGATACACAGATATATAAGAGCTTTAATAGTAACACTTTGCATACTTCAATCAATGAGCTTAATGATGATTTGGAGGCAATAGTAGGACACTCAAATGGTAACAATCTTAAGCTCAATAAGGATAAGTGCTCAGTGATGCTTTTTTGTCCTGCTGTCAAACGTATCACTATATTGTATTCTCTTGATGTAAAAATCGACAAGGAGCGTCTAGCTGTCGTAAATACTACAAAAAACTTAGGGTTGATTATTGATTATACTTTACGGTTTAAGGAACATGTTTCGTCTATATTAAAAAAATGTTATGCAACTTTGAAGTGTTTTTATGTCAATCGCTCTATTTTGAATTTTAAAGTTAGAAAAAAGTTATGTGAGGCTATTATATTTCCAAGCTTATTTTACTGTAGCACTGTGTTCTATCATTGTGTTGATTCCATCACAAAAGCAAGACTCCAAAAACTCCAAAATACTTGTTGTCGATTTGTATTTAATCTCAAGAAGTATGATCATGTTTCCTTAAAGAGATTTCAGCTTGGTTGGATGTGTATAGAAAATGCTTGCAAGTACCACATAGCAGTGTTTACACATAGATCATATCTTCTAGATCCCCCTTGTATCTTTATGAGAAATTTGTTTTCAGACGAAATAATTCAGACACAAAAAAAGACGAGAGATCCCTATGTATAAAACAACATTATTTCGTAGTTCATACACTTACAATGCTATCCTGATTTATAATGAATTAGATGACAATATAAAGGAGTGGCCAGTAAACAGATTTCGTAAGCATGTGAAACAGATTTATTTGTCATTGTAGTAATTGTGGAAAAGTTAGTTTTTAATTCTTACATTTTATTTTATTTTTACGTAATATATGTGTGTATATATGTATGTTAGGAAGCTATCAAGCTGGTTGTTTTGAAGCGTCTTTTGCTGCTTGTCAAAGTTTCCTTTGATTAAGTGTTTGAATTTATTATTTGGGTAGGTTAAGTAGAGTAGCCAAGAGCTAGACTTCGCCTACGTAGAGGTCACATTATGTTGTAGTTTATATAATGTGCCTAATAAAGACATTTTATTATTATTATTATTATTATCCCAACTAACAATTATAATTCCTATCAGGGATGCAAGAATGTTTCAACAGTATTCCTTGCAAGAGGAATGGTCACACCTCATAGGTTGCATAAGGGTTGCAAGTAACAGTTATATACAACAAAAGTGTAAACACTCTTGCAACCCATAAAGAGCTTTGCGTCAGTGCAAGGTTCAATGGGTGTCAACTATACAACCACTCTATTGCGTGAATCTACTTTATTGCAACCAGCGTATTTTTTCACCTATTGTATATAGGCGAAGTGAAGAAAAATTTTTGAAACTAACACGTTACATTCATCTGGTTTACTTACATACTGGCCATTGTGAATCTCATACACAGATTATGTATGATAAGCATCTAGTTTGTAATGTAGGGCTATAATATGACTTGCGTAACAAATTTTGTAGAAGTAGTAGCAATTTCTACGGGCTGCGGTAATCTTCTACCAAAAATTCTAATCGCTATTATTCTCAATCAGGACAAACTTTAAAGTGTCGTCGGGGAATTTTAAGTGACTTGACTGTTGCAAAAAAAATTCAAAAGAGACTATTGAAACGAGGATAATAGCCATTTGAATTTGATGAATTATTTCCTATGAGTTATTCTGAAAGACTCTTTTGCAACAGTCGTATCCTTTGAAGCTGTTTAAAGTCCTGAATGAGGATAATAGCAATTTAAAAGAGAGCGCGAATATTTGCAGTGCTTTCGGAAGAGCTTTGAAAAATAACTATTTCGCTGCTAGTTTCACCCTCATGTAAAAGTCTAGTTGAATATGCCAATGCAGTGTCTTAATGTCATTTGACGTCAACAAGTCCTTCTGTTACTGAAATTATATATAAAACTGTTCATACCTGGATCACCTTAAAACTGTGGTGCATATGTTTTTGGCGATTACGTCACTTGCCATACGAAATAAGTAAACATAGTGATAGAGGGCTGTCCTATTCACTCGCTTTCTGAAAATACTTCCAATACAGTTCTTCGTCCTTGTACAGTTCTATCTTCAGGCACTACTCTGTTTTATATCGAAGATCAACATCGGTAAACACAAATGACACTCCAATGACAAGCAAATTGTCAAAAGTGACAAAAACGTATGTCTATGAGTTTACACAAGCCTCCACGCATATGCGAATGTCACACGATCACTATTTACTGTCATGGAGGCTCTAAAACGACCCCGAAACTTGACGCCTGGAGTAACAGTGGTGCTTTGACAGGGTTGCCATGTTGGGGCATTTGCCCTCAAATTAAATAATTTTTTTGGGATATGTTCTGGGAGAAATCACACGTTTCGCAGATGGAAAGCATCTCCCCCAGTTCTTTGAACTAAACATACCTCTTTTCATTATTTAACTGTGATTTTTGAAAATGTAGCAATTCTGAGGGGTTTTTGTGCTTGTTCTTGCGAAATTCTGCCCAACCCATCTGGTAACGCTGTGCTTTGACAGAACACTTTCCTAATAGTTTAATAGCGGGCCGCTTAAATCAATTCAATTCAATTCAATTCAATGGACTTTATTGTAACACATACATAATTATGTATCCTTACAAATGGCGAAGTCTAGCCAATGGCCATTTATACTTAACCATAAATGTCATGTCAAAAACTGAAAAAGAAAAGGAAAAAGAAGAATAATAGTAATAGAAGAATTAATAAATATGACATAATGCGTACGATTAGAACAAAAAACATAATACGTACAATTCAAAGAGAGGACAATAACCTAAGAGCTCAATAAGTAGTTCTTATATTTTTTTTTAGAAAAGTTGCTGATGAAACATTGTTCGAAAGAGTTGATCAATTTCACCGCATTATACGTAAAAGACCGTTGAAAAATGGCTGTCCTATGTTGTGGCATTGTCAGGAGATTAATGTTGCGCGTATTCAAATTGTGAATTAAATTCCTACGAACAAGCTTTTGCCTAAGATAAACCGGAACAGAAGTTTTTAATATTTTTACGACAAATGTAACAAAGTTGTATTTGAAAAGATCAGAAATTTTCAACCAATTCATTGAAGATATTGAGTGAGAAACATGATCGTACCTTCTTAAATTGTTTATGTAACGACTACATGAGTTTTGCATTTTTTGCAGTCTGTATTTTGTGATTTCGTCCAGACAGGGATAATAAACTATGTTGCAGTAAGCGATTTTACTGAGTATGAGTGACTCGCATAACATTTTCTTAATTTTTCTATTTAAAACAGTTTTACTTGCATATAGAAGCCTGAGTCTAAAATAACTAGACTTACACACATAGCCAACATGCTCCTGAAATCTGAAATCTTCATCCAAGTACAAACCTAAATTTTTTGCAGAATGGGAAAATATTAGGATACTATTATTTAGTGATAAATTTAACTTTGATTTGAGGAAAGTACGTTTTTTCTTGGAGCAAAAAAGTGTAGCTGTCGATTTCGATGCGTTTAGACGTAAATTATGTTTTGCAGCATATGTGCATAAGTATTGCAGATCTTGATTGATAAGGTTGTTAGCTAAATGGTAGTTGTTCGGACAGAAATTATGAAAAACCTGCATATCATCAGCATATGATTGACTAGAACAATGTTGAAGGGTGTTAGAAATGTCAAAGGAATAAAAGTGGACCTAATATGGATCTCTGAGGCACGCCGGAACAAATCGGACTTTTGTCTGAAAGTTTATTTTGTATGACGACATATTGATGTCGTTCATTTAAATAGCGATCTATCCATTCCAGAACCAAGTCATCACACCCAATCTACAGGTGTATTTTCTTTGTTAAAACAGCAGAGTTCCCCTTGCCAGGCAATTTGCTTATTGCTACAAGAATTATGGGCCGTATCATAGAGCAAAGGTCAAGTTTCAAAGAACACCCTGTGCTATCTCTGATTAAATATTGTTGTAAATCATTACATTCTGTACGTTTTTTAAGTCAATTTTAAATAACTTATAAAAGTCCTTTATTGAAATACGTCGAGCTTTCTTTTAACGAACAACATTTAAAAAGCATTTGAAAAACGAAAGTAAATGTGTTAAATTATAAACTACCGACTATATGTTATAATACATAGTACCGGAAAAAACTCGGAAAGATCGTGTCGGTAAAATGATATTAAATTTCAATCTCCAATTTCTGGGATGAATGGCCGAACCGCTAAACATCAAAAAGTATTGTTGTAAATTTAATCCTGGACAAATTTAAAATACCAGCTATTAATCGAACTATCAATAAATATTCACACTCATCAATATATGGTTCGTAAACAATGCAGCACATATAAATCCATACCGAATCGCAATTCACAATAGAGAACGACGTAAATAATGAAATAGATCATGTGTACAATGTTTGTGCAGTTACAATTTAAATAATCTCGAATTTCTGTCGTTAGGTTTGATTTCTACATACATACATTTTAAGCGTTACAATATAGCATAATTTGGAGGGTGGGTCGTGGATCCTGCCTTGACTCTGCACTCCCCAGGATAGGACAGGATTGTAAAGGATTAAATTCCGCGCAAGACTTTGAATGAAATTACTTAAGTCAGTCAAACAGGCTCATATATAACTGAAATTGGCATATTTTGCACGTTTTTATTTAGAAGTATGGGGATGAGCGTTGGGAAAGTGTGGTCAATAAACGGTCGAAAGGTGAAAAAATCTCGAACGCATCACTCATTGTCGTCAGCTTCGCGAGATTTTTTCGAATGACAAATGTCGATTGCTAAATTCAAGAAGGCACGTTTCGCGTGTCATTTTATCTATCTCGCATTCGCCATATTGACCACTCGACATTCTTTTATTTTTGCTTGAACACCCAAATGCCGGCTTAATGTGCGAAATGCAAACTTGCTCTAAAATGAGGTTTCTAAAACATTATTGTAACATACTTATACAATACCCTATATGATAAATTTTGTACTATTGCATAAACGTTTATACAACCATTTTATACGATATATTAGCTCGGTAGTCAAAATAGTTATGTGGCATCCATGAAATTTATACAACAAACCCGAGCCTTATTGTTTAAGTGTGCAAGATACTTTAGCCAAGAAGCTGCTAGCAAAGGAAGCATTTATATTCAACAAGTACTGAAATAATCAATATTTTTCTTCCTCAAGATACGTATGAATATGGTTCGTTTTTAAGAGTTCGTCAACTTTTCAAACAGAAAATATAGATCTGGTAAAAAGGAGTAAAGCATTAGACTCTATATTTAGCTTCAGGGATTTGCCAAACTGTTATAATAACACTCGCGAATAACACCAAAGGTAATATGGAAGATGTTAAGAGATTATAGATAACTACATGCCTCTTTTGAAAAACAAATAATTCTTTTTAGCCCGACATTACAGATAGAAAATGATAAACGTTAGCGTAATAGGATTTGTGAAAGATTTAACGCAGTTAAGTTCAGATTTTCATCTTAAAAATCTAGACATATTTTTGATCATTATCAAAGTATGGATCAAATATGAAGCTACTTTTATAAGACAATCATAATTACATTTGCTGTGCAAGTCATTCAAAAGCCTTATTTATTTATTTACTTATTTATTTCCAACAGGTGAAACCCAATTACAGGAAACGCTGAAAAAAATAACAATTAAAGGTTCATGGTTCTTGGACTTAAATCTATAGTATCACACATTCTAAATAAGATTGGATGATCTATAGCATTATATCACAGTCTGGAAGCCTTTGTATGAAATTCACAACTGCCGATATGTCAGTAAACAAAATGAGTGTGGTATAACCTTTATCGTCAAAATCCCCAGTCAGTGAAATTGTACTCGTATGTAGAAAGAAATTTTTATCTATGTTTGGTGTAAAATAGGTTCATTATTGCCATTATTGCAAAGCACGGGTATTACTCGCATACCCCCCAACAACTTTCTAACACGTTCTCTTGTACACATGAAATATCGACACATAAAAGGGAAAACGACTGGCCAGCACTGTGTGTGTGATCCGATATTTTGTAGATTTTGCAATTTTGTTTAGTGGTATGACTAAATAGTTGGTCGTAGTAAGTAATGATAATTTCTACCGATCACAAATGGGCAATTTTGAATTACAAATGGTTTCTAGATGGAAAAATTGTATGACAATACCTTTCAGCAGTTTTTTCAAGCTGTTGTCAGCAAAATTTACAATACCTTTGATAACTAGTAATTATGGTCTCCTAGGACACCAGAAAACGACGCTAAACAATTTTTCTGATTTTATTGAATAATGTCTTGTCAAATATCATTCGGGTATCTAATTTTTTCCTGTGAAGAAAATCGAAAAAACAATACAAAGTAATCTTCGAGCAGGTGCATTTTTGTTGCCACCAGCACTCATGCTTCTTTTTAAAATACTAATTAGCAACGTGTTTTTTAGTTTTTTTTTTCGGAAAAATTAGATGCCCTTATGATATTACTTATTATTATATCACTGTGCTGAAAAACAACAAAAAATATCTTCTATCAATTTTTTTTTGAAAACTCCCTCCTATCCCTAAATTTTGGAAAATGGTCAAACATGTTTATTATTCATTTCATTGCAAAAACTACAACCACCCCTCGAGAATCAGCCCTGAAAATTGTATCATGATACGATAAGTGCATACCTAAAAAAACTATAAATATACAGGTACAACATTATAGAAATAGTTAACCAAATTTAGAAAGTGTAAAATTATGGATTGATTTATGGATAATACAGGATTTTGAGATCTGTCGATTTAAGATACGAGACTTCTATTAAATCAAAATCGCGGAATTATAACGTAAATTACTACTTTGAAATGTCTCTTTCACGAACACACACGGCTTAAATGATTTTGATTTCAACTTTGTCTGTGCATGTGCTTGGCGACATTGTCTGCGAGAGCCTTTAATCGAGAACTCGGTCGAGGAACGCTGCTAGTTCTTTGTGTTCGTCTAGATCAGTAGATACGCCACTGGCTTCCATATTTCACATTTCATCAGTGGCGGCTCGTGAGGTAGTGCCACGGTGCCATGGCACTACCTTGTCTTCTTCAAAAAGAATATTTTTTTCAAT